GTCTGCGGCGCGGGACACCCGGGCGGGAGGGCCGGGCCGAGCCCCGGCCCCCGGGAGCGGGAGGAGACGCCGGCAAGCGGCGGGATCCAGCACCCTGGCCTCAGTTTCCCCAAAGCGGCGGGGGCCGTGGCGTGGACTTGCGAATACGCTGTTCCCTGGAAAGCGAATGCTAGTCCTGGGCTCGAGTCCTCGAGAGGCAGGGGCACGGGGAAGCTTCGCCAGGCCGCCCCAGCCGGGGCCCCAGCCGGACTCCCGCGGAGGGAGCAGGGCCGGGGCCTGGGCGCCCGCTCTGCGGCCGCAGCACTGGGGCGTGGGTGGCCGAGCTTCCGGGGCGGGCGGGCTGGAGGAGGGGCGCGGGGAGGGCGGGGAGGGCGGCTGACCTCTTCCCCCGCCCCGCTGGTCCCATCTGAAGTCTGCCGGCTCCCATCTCCTGCACTTAATGATTTTGACGGGCCCCACCCGCGCGCCATCGGGGCCTTTGTGTCTGCCAGACCCGTGGCCCCTCTCCTGGGTCCACCCATCAGTCACCCGGAGCTCCAGCTGTTCCCAGCCTTTGGAGCAACCTCCGCCGCCACCACTACAAATTGGCTCTCAACAGCCGCTCGGAGACCCTTTCTCTGCCATTGTCTCGGGACAAATGGCCTTTCCCCCGCGCACCGCCCGGCAGGCCCAGCCAGGCTGCCTGGGGAAGGGGCGGGGCCCTGAGGCCTTCCAGGACGCCCTCCGCCTCCTCGGGCCGAGTAACCCAGCCAGGCTGGGCCGCAGAGCGTGCCCGCCGCCTCCGCACCCGCTCCCCGCAGGTGGGGAAGGAACCGCCGAGTCCCGAGTGGCCCGGAGAGCACTTGTTGACAGAGCTGCGGCGAGCGGAGGAGGAGGAGGTGGTGTGGGAGAGCGCAGGGGCTCCCTGGAGCAGCCATGGCCAAGCACAGAGCCAAGACAATTACATGCCTAGTTTTGCTGATTGCATTAAAATCATTAGAATGAGGGATCTGAAAAATCATACATTAAGGGCAGAATTAGAAAGGGCTTTAGAGACTGACACAGGCATCCCCAAAGTGTGTCTGGCACAATCAGCGCATCACGTTGGAAAGCAGGCCCTTCACTCAGCGTGGAGGTGACCTTCGCACACCCGCCCCCTCCCGTTTCCTCCTCCTTTTCCTCCTGCGTGCAGAATTTTTGCACCAAGTGTTCCCCCTTGCTTCATCTACCTTTTTTCCTCTCTTTCTCCCTCAGATTTCAAACTTTGCCCTCCAGGACTGGGTTCCTGGGTCATGTTAAGTAGTAGGCCTGCAGGTGTGTGCCCGTCATTCCAGCTACTCAGAAGGCTGAAGCAGAAGGATCTCAAGTTTGAGGCTAGCCTGGGCAACTTAGCAGGAGCTCGTAGGTCAGTGGAAGAGCACACCAGAGTGAGCCTGAGGCCTTGGGTTCCATCCCCGGCACCTGGGCTGAGAGGTGGAGTGGGCCTGACAGGATGCAGTGAGTGGGGCCTTTGGTTCTGGGCATGGGAGACATAGTCAGAATGCCCATCCCAGCATCTGACCCAGTGTCAGTGCCAGGGCAGCAGAAAGTAGGGAGACAGAGGTCAGGGCAAGGGTGGAAATGGGCCAGTCTGTGAGAGGAGGGTAGAAAGCCACTGTCCAGC